CAAGGATGTGATGATTCTCTAGAACTCACTCCACCCAGAATCCCTACCATGTGTATCATGAAAACAAAAATACCTCAGTGAGAAGAAAGCTTCATACAGTGGCCAGTGGCTTAGTTAGACATCGTGCATGCTCTACCCATAATTACAGTTTTGTATTCCTCACTCCGCTTCCCAGTGGCTGACCTCAGAAACCACCTCAAAGCTGTTCATCCTCGAAAATCAACTTCTAGGGTTGTTAGTGAGACTGACTACAATGCTCTTGCGTTTTCCATAAGTACTGGCTCACACACTGTTTGCTCTTAGAAAACGCGCGTGGAATTCAACCAACATTGTACCACCCTCTTTTCATACACACAGGACATTCACCTGTGGACAGCTTTTGAGATTTCATCTCACAGATGTGAGAATCCTTAGATGTATATCCTGCCCATCCCTAAGAAATCATGACAAACCAAATATCCACCAATGATGGCCTTTAATACAGTACCTGTTAGAAAAGCAACATGTAGCATTTAGTGATCAGTTTACAATGTTACAGTCAGTAAGGCTGCCCTATAGACGTCTGCTTCTAAAGTCTTGACGACTGTGGATACTTGATCATTACAGTGCTCCTCCTCGGTCTTGGTCTCCCCACAGGTTCACATCTGTGTTGGGGCTCTCACTTTTATCTGCTTCAGCCCTAGTTTTCCCAGGATCCTTGGAAGTCAGCCATGAAAAATGTTAAAATTCATCCATCATTTCTCTTTTATTTCTCCTTTATTCTCCCTTCATTCTTCATTATACATTCTTAACCATTCTGGTCCCTACATGCCTCCTCTATCTAATACCTTTCTTTACTCTCAAAACCACTAATTTAATTTGTCATTTTGAGATAGTACTATTACAATTGCCTCCTAAGTAGCTTTTGTATTTCCTATAATCTAGAGCCTATGGGCTCACAAGAGGACCATCCATTTCAAAATGCCTCTAAATCTTCCAAAATTGTGCCCATACATAGCTTTCTAATGTCTAAATGGTTAGGAGCCTGAAATACTCATGGTTTATTGATAAATAAGTGCCTTAGGGTTTGCAGCTTAACTTCAGTTGGCTGAGATGTAATTGTATTGGGTCGGGGTGGTACTGATTGATTTCAATCTCCTTTTTCTGCACTGTTTCTCTTCGTGGCACTTATCACTTGCTCTACTAGGCAAGTTCATAAAATTGCACAAAATAAGTGGCCAGGATTTTAGTCTGCTTCACTGCTGTTGTATTCAGTAAGCATATGACTTGATTCTTTGCTTAATTGATTAGTTAATAAGAAAATTGTAGGGCTGGGAGCTAGTAATGATCAGTCCTAATTAAGAGATACAGTAATTTTAACATTATGTCTATCTGTTGAAATGCATATGTGTGTATGTGTGTGTTAGTCACTCAGTTGTGTCCGACTCTGCAACCCCATGGGCTGTAGCCCACCAGGCTCCTCTGTCCATGGAATTCTCCAGGCAAGAATTCCATGGAGTGAGTTGCCATTTCCTTCTCCAGGGGATCTCCCCAATCCAGGGATCAAACCTGGGTCTCCTGCATTGCAGGTGAATTCTTGACCATCTAAACCACCAGGGAAGCCCTAAATACATATGAATGAGTTTTTAAAAAATACCTAAGTTCAGGAGTTCCCCGGTGGCCTAGTGGTTAGGATTCTGGGCTTTCACCGTCATGGCCTGGGTTCATTCCCTGGTTGGGAATCTGAGATCCTGCAGGGCCTGGCCAAAAAACAAACAAACAAACAAAAGGAGTTTTAAAAATTGCCAGGTGCTATATGATGTAACATCTTAGACTTGATTTGTTGGTATTATTTGCTCTGAAATATTTGGGTGTGAAATGAAAAGTGGCACAGTTGATATATTAGAGATGAAGTATAAGAACTTCATAAATACCAAAAATGATAACAAGTCAAACAAATGACATAGAGATGAGGGAAATGTAAATTCCCAGGGGCTGATGTAAAGGGTAAAAAAGATGTATATTTATTGTCATGTTTACTAGAAAAAAATATCAAACCTATGAATTTACTGATCTTATTGTTTAAGGAAAGACTTGAGGAGTGATTTAAAGAAAAATACTAGGTATAGTGGGAGGTAATTAAAATGGCAAACCATTCGGAAGGTGTAGGTGAAATACAGTCCATAGTCCAAGAAGTACAGGGTTAGGGGTTCAGATTAACATCAGATGTGAGATCTTAGCAATTCATATACCTAGTCAACCTCAGTCTCTTCTTATATAAAATGGAATTATTATGATTGAATTTTACTTATTTCTTGTAAACATTAAATGAAGCCATATTCAAGCATGAGATATCTATACACCTTAAGAATCCATAGAAACACTACAAAGTATGGTTAGAAAGGAGAATGGTCAAACTTTAACCCTTCATATGGTGTGGGCCCTCCAAAGTTTTCAATAGTATAAATATGAAGTGGAGGAAGCTGGGAAACATGGGTCTTAAGAATGGGGCCTTAGAGTTTTAAAATTAATTCAACAGTATATTCTGGCTCTGAATTATTTAGAATACCACCTGAAATTTGGTATAATTTTAATGCCTACCTTATGAGAATATTTCTGAGAATTAAACAACACATGTAAAGCCTCTGGCACATACATGCTCTGACAATAATAGCAATGATTATTACTACTATTGCTACTGTTGTTATTTAGGGCTTCCCAGGTGGCGATAGTGGTAGAGAACCTGTCTACCAGTGCAGGAGACTTAAGAGACTCCAGTTTGATCCCTGGGTCGGGAGGATCCCCTGGAGAAGGGCATGGCAACCCACTCCAGTATTCTTGCCTGGAGAATCCCATGGACAGAGCAGCCTGGCGGGCTACAGTCCACGGGGTTGCAGAGTCAGACAGTGAGTTAGCACACAGCATGCATTGTTAAATAGGGCAAGTTGAACTAGAATTAGCCCCAATATACCTTCAATTTTCTAATAATTCTGGCAGATTAAATAAAAGTAGAAAATACATGGAGAACTCTTGACACAAAGCAGCTGTAGAAATATCTTATAACAACTCTTAAAATAAGCAAACAATAACAATAACTAACAATAGTTCTTTTTTGAAACTGACAGCAAAACACAAAAACAAAAAGTGACCCACGTAACCATCCTGGTAAAATAGAGAACTCTGTAACATGCCATGGTCATCTTTCTGTGATTCATCCTAGCAAGGGTCTGCAAGTCCAGACCTGGGTTAGAAACTAACAAGAGAGTATGATGTCATGAGGTTGGTCACCAAGGAGCTTTGGAAGAAAAACTGGATGCCGAACCCACAAATATGCCATATTTCTCAAGCAAGTGTCTAAGTCTGGACATCACATGTGACTTTTTAACTTAACCATGTCAGCTCTGCAGATTTAAAAACCATGTTCATATCACACGTACTTCTAGAGTTACTTCTGAGTTCCCGATTCTATAATTCAACCATGGTCGCTGACTCACTTATTACTAACTATAAATCACTTGAAGGTTTAGCTGCTGGATGTGGGGCATTCCCAATGTTTGGCTGAGTGGGCTAAGTGAGGCGGCCGAAGCTTTGTGGCTAACCCTTCAGGTTGGAGAGCCAGGCTGCCTGGGTTGGAATCAACTTTCTCTACTCACAAGCTGACAATGACCTGTGGTGAGTCATTTACTTTTATATGCCTAACTTGTAAAATGACATAAACATTTTCCTTTTAGATTTTTTGGTGAAGCTTAAATGAGTTGGTATTTGTAAAATGCTTATTATAATATTGCCAGAGTAAACCCTGTTGTCATTATAAGAAGTTATTTCCTTAAACCGGTAAAAATCCTCAAAATTTGCTGCATGGGAACAATCTGGAAGGCTTGTTAGCACTCAGACCCCAGGCCCCATCCCTGCAGTTTCTGATTCTGTGGGTCTGGGATAGAGCCTAAGCATTTATGTTTTGTTAACAAGGTCTAGGATCATGCTGACGCTGCTGGTCCCAAAACCACACCCTGAGAAGAAAAAGAGCATTTAAACCCAGTGCGCTGGTAATCACTTTCCACAAGAGAGGTTTCTCCAAAATTGGCCCACATAGCTCAAACTGCAGGCATCATAGGTTATCATCGCTACCTCTCAGCCTTCAGACCTAACTCTGGGACGCTCAGACTTGAGAAGAGCTCGCAGTGATTAAAGCCAAATCCTTACACTCAACAGGTGGAGGAGATAAACGTGGGTAAGGTCGCGTGGCTGAAACTGCCCTGCGCACCAGTCGGAGTGCGCCTGAGAAATCCTGGGAATTGGAAAAAAGCGGAGGGAACGAGAAGCGAGCAGGCCTCCGTGCGCTCTCAGAAACAGAACTGGGTGGTCGTTTATTATCTGTCTGTGCCGCGCGGCCTCGGCTCGGCCCCAGACAAGTGTCAGCGTCGCCCCGCCCGCCCTCCCTGCCCCGGCTCCGGACGGCCCCCGGCCGCGCGCAGCTGAACTCGGGAAAGGCCAGCGGCGGGCCCCCCGGGTCACCTGGGCGGAGAGGTGAGCGGCTCCGTCCGCCCGTTGCTGTGAGGAGGCCAGGGGCTTGGCCTGGGAACGCAGCTAGTCCTCGGCCCGTCGGGGCCAGGCGAGCCGCGAGCGAGGGGCGAGAGTGCAGGGGTGGAGCTAGGGCCGATGAGGGGAGGAATCAGAGGGAAAAATCGCCTCTTCAGTGGCTGCCGCCGGACAGAAGGCACTCTCTCAGTAGGGAGAGACCCTGGTTGCGGGCGTTTGTGACAGATCTGCCGTAGAGGCTACGGCAGGAGAAGCGCCTGGGGCTTGGGGGTGAGATGCAGTGACGGGCGCGGGGACACCTACACTGGCAGCTTTAAGGGGGACTGAAGCGCGCTGCTGAGGGAGGAGAAAGAACACTGCCAAACCTCCGCTTTGCGTTTTGTTTCTGCAGCAGCAGCAGTTATGCAGAAATACTTCTGACGGGCGACTCCGGGTTACCTACGTGGCAGCCGTCCCAGCGGCTCCAGGTCCCCGCGGCGCAGGGCCGCCGAGCGGGAATCAGAAAGGGCGAGCGATTGGCCCGCCTGGGCGGCGGGGCACGCGCCCTCCCTCGGCGGGGGGCACAGCTCTCATTTCTTGGGAAGATTTTCAGTCTTCGCCTATGTCAGGAGGGGATTCAGGACGACGACAGAAGAGCTCAGGTACTGTCAATTTCTATTTCATCATATACATTTTCAGGTTTAAGTTTTTGAGAATCCACTCCCATGTGTTCAGACTTTTGGTCCTCTTTTCAGTAACTCTCAAGTGGGCAAACCCAGAACTTCTGTTTTTCTAGCTGAACGACAGAACTGGCTTCAACCTATTCTTTTCTTTGCTTACCTAATTATATGAAGGTAGAAATGCTGTCTCCAATCACATAACATTTATTTAAATATTTGGTAACAGTTACAATGACAAAAGTGGCCATCTGATTAAACCAGTATTAGATTTTAATTTGGGCTAAATTCTAATTCCATGGTATTTCTATCTATATGAAGATACAGCAATTCAGCATTCATGTTATTTTAAATGCATTTTATAGTTAAAGGATGGTTGCTGGTAGAATCTAAAAGAAACCATTCTATGAAGATCACTTTTCTTAGAAAAACATAATAGAGATCTTATTATGTCTTTGAATGTTCTGAATTGCAGGCAAAAATTTGGTTTGGATCCCTGGGCTTGCCTCACATGTGGGTACCAGATACCATTTTTTCCAACAAGCTGAGCATGTTTCTTTCCTGCTTATGCCCACCCCCCACCCCCCCCACTCCCATCGCAGATGTGAGAAGGAGAAGGGACCAAGGGAAGAGGCAGAGGGATGTTCTAAGCAGAGCAAAAACAGCATCATGCCCACGAGGGGTCAGCATGGCTCACTGTGGGGCAGGTATTTAGGCTCAAGCCCTCTCAGCTGGTCAGTTACTATTTGCTATGGTCATCATTTGGCAGTGACATGTATAATTTGTCTTTTTTTGGCAAAGACTTATGACGTTAGGAAGACATTTATTCATCCTTTCAGTGATTACAGCTCTAACTGAAAGTGTTTTTGAAGGTTTAAGAAAATGAAAAACCAAACATGCTCAGTGATAAAACATATATTATAAAACTTCACTTGATCACACATACACAGAAACTCACACATCCAATAAAGAAAAGGCTAGAAGGAATAGAATAAAATATTATTGACTATATCTGGGTGGTGGGGAGTATAAGTAATTTTATTTTCTTTATTTGACTTATTTACAACTTCTAACTTTTCAGTGTTGCACACATATTACCTTTATAATCAATTTTTTTTAAGTCTAAAAGAACTAATGTATAAACAGGAAAGTAAACTTTATGTATTTCAGTTGTCACAATATCTCCATTATGCTTTCCATTTTCTTTTTTTAATGAATCCCCAAGTAAAAGGGATTCCTAAGAAGTGAAAATCTGTAAAGGAATTTTCACAACAATAAATACCCTGCTTGTCACAAGAGTCCATATGAGGCCAGCACACACTATGGCTTTGTAGTTAGCTTTACCATAAAATTTGCAAATGAAATTGGTCCCTAATAACCTTACAGGACAGTCTCCCAGATTACCAGTTACTGTGTGGGGTCTACTGGAACTCTGCTCAAACCATATTTATAACTGAGGTATGATGTTTTTTCAGGATGAAGCTGAAAGGCAGGGGAAGCACCAGCTTACTGCTCTCCTTCACTGCAGCCTGCCTGATAGCCCTCCCCAGGGGCAGGGCCTGTCCTCGCCGCTGCGCCTGTTACGTGCCTACAGAGGTGCACTGCACATTTCGGTACCTCACCTCCATCCCAGATAGCATCCCACCCAACGTGGAACGTATCAATTTAGGGTGCGTGAGGGTGCTTGTCTTGCTTCCTTCTCAAGGAGGGACTGAGTACACTGGTAATGTTCCTAAAACAGTTGTGACTTTGGTAGATTAACCACAATTCTTTTAATAATACTTTCCTTCTGGAATGAGTGCATGAGGATCTTAAGCTTTCTGGGGCAATGAGAAAATTTTCCCTGGTAAGCTTTTACTAGGTGGAAGTTTTTCTAGAACCCAAAGTCATTCATGGTAGGCTGAGAGCCCCATAATTATAGAAAAGCTTCATTTTGGCTCTATTTTTGCTGAGTATTAATATAGCTTCTGCTAAGAATTAGAGTTATGATAATATCCGTAAGAGGTAAGTGTCCTCCTATATATATGGAAAGTTAACTAGATCTTTTTTTTTAAGGTTTTTGGATTTTTTTCCCATAGAAACTGATTTATTTAAAATACTTAAACAATGCATAAGTAATTAAATCTGCTAAAAAGTGACTGTATTTTAAAGGTTGGTGAAAAAACGTGTGTGAATGAACGAAAAGGCAGACTTAACATCTTTTGATGTTAGTGAGCACCTGCTATGGACCAAACACAAGGATGGTACCAGGGATACAGTGAAGAAGGACACATTATTCATGTGTAGAAATCAGTCAAAGTGAAAAGACAGATGTATAATCAGTACAATTTAATAAGAATTGTAATACAGCATACGAAGTGTCTTGGAAACAATCACTACTGGTAACAGCTAACATTGTGTCCTGGCATTGAGCTAAGCACTCTTCATGAATGCATTCATTTAATCCTCAAAACCTGTTTCAAGTAGGTTCTATTATTTGCATTTTATAGACAAGGAAACTGAGGCAAAGAAAGATTACGGATTTTTTTTTTTTTTAACCCAGCATTGGCCCTACTCCCAGGAGCCGGGTACCTGAGTTCATAATCATATCTAAATTTGACTTCAGAGCCCAGGCTTCTTAACCATTGTTTCATAATGATGAATTCCACCTGGGAGAACAAGGGGCAATGTCATTAGGGAATGGGCTGGGTCTTAACAGTGTTCACAAATAGAGAGGGCTGAAGTCAAGGGCATTCCAACCTGAAGAAACAACATAGCATACAAAGGTTTGAAAATGAGCAGGGATGTAGCATGTTCCAGGAATGTGAGTAGGATCATTGTAACTGAAACTGCAAGGGCTGGGTGAAGGGGTTGACCTTCCATGGCATCTGATGAATTTCAGTATTTCAAGCATTGGGTTATCTCCTTAGAGCACAGGGAATCTTTAGTGGGGTGTGTATTTGTGTGTGTGAGGTGGGGAGTGAAATTCAGTTTTGTGTGTGCATTTGTTGGGTTTTGCTTTGACATTTGAAATTTAATTGGCAGACTTATGTCTAGAATGATGTTTTTATTTCAGGTACAACAGCGTGGTTAGATTAAAAGAAGCAGATTTTTCTGGCCTGAACAAGTTGGAGTTACTAATGCTACACAGCAATGGAATTCACACAATCCCAGCTAAGACCTTCTCGGATTTGCAAGCACTGCAGGTGAGACTGATGTTCGGAAGGGGCAAGTTAAGTGCCTCCAAAAGCTACCTGTTCCTAGAGAACCCCAAAATTAACATTCTGTACATCAGACATAGACATCAAGGGGAAATGTTAAAGAACTGATTTCAAGTGGAATAGTATGTGGAAATTAGAATAAGAAAATTCTGATTTTCTTCTACCTTAGGCTCACAGAAAGAAGTATCAATGCCCAGGGATTACTGAACCTTGAAAATGTAATTCTTAAAGGCCACTTCTAGTCATGTTTATCTGGAAATTGAATGTAATTTATAAAATAAGTGCTATCTTTACACAGAAGTTAGCTTTTTGTAAGCAATATATTTTTAAAACATCTTTTTGAGTATGTTTTTATTTTTAATTGGAGAATACTTGCTGTAGAATGTTATGCTAGTTTCTGCTGTACAATGTGAAGTCGCTTAGTCGTATCCAACTCTGCGACCCCATGGACTGTAGCCTACCAGGCTCCTCAGTACATGGAATTTTCCAGGCAAGAGTCCTGGAGTGGGTTGCCATTTCATCACCTATAAATATCCATATATGTACACCCTCCCTCCGACCGCCACCCACCCCAGCCCTCTAGGTCATCCCAGAGCATCACTGAGATATATGGCAGCTTCCCAAGGCTATGTTTTACACATGGTCGTGTATACACATCAATGCTACTGTCTGTTCCACCCTCTCCTTCCCCTGCTGCACCCACAAGGTCCTGCCCTGCAGATAGATTCATCGGTACCATTTTTCTAGATTCCATATATATGTATGTTCATATATGGTATTTGTGTTTATCTTTCTGACTCCACTCTGTGTGACAGATGCTAGGTTCATACCTCATTACAACCAACAATTTCATTCCTTTTGATGGCTGAGTAATATGCCACTGTATTTATATGTACCCACATCTTCCTTGTCCGTGCATCTGTTGATGGACCTCTAGGTGGCTTCCATGTCCTGGCTATTGTAAATAGTGCTGAAATGAACGTTGGCTTACATGTGTCCTTTTGAATTATGGTTTTCTCAGGGTATATGCCCAGTCCTGGGATTGCTGGGGTACATGGTAGTTTTATTCCTGGCTTCTTAAGGAACGTCCATACTGCTTTCCATAGTGGTTGTAGAGCAATATTTTGTAAGTTTCACTTTACTTTTGCATTGCTTTATTTAAAAAAATTTTTAAGTTATGAGGACTTCTAAGCATGCATCAAATATTTTAAGAATTACTATTCCAGTAGGCAAGAAAGTAAAAAGTAGGAAGAACTCTTAGGAACAAGAACAAAGGGAATGCAGGAAAACATCAGGCATAAAGATAGGTATGTCTGCTATAAGCAGGACTTGAGGCTTTAGAGAAATTAATTCCATTTATGATGTCTATTACTTTTTAAATAAATTTAAAAATACAACTACTGTTCATAAGTACAACCTGATTTTAAATTAGAAGTACACACCTGATTTTAAATTAGAAAAAGATGTCTCCCAAGGTCCTCATAGATGAAATACAGTACAGTAAAGCAAACGGTCAGTTTTACCCTTAGAAAAGATAAATTGCCAGTGTAAAGTGAATCTTTTCACACCACACTAAGGCTGTGTAAAGCCATAGATTTAAGTCTAGATAAGTGATTATGTTGACTTGGTTTAATCAGGCTTTATTTGGAATATATATCTTCAGCAGATTAGATGGAATTTCTTCATGGAACTCACACGTTTTTCTTAACCAGGTTTTCAACAGATATTGATGAACATTGAGTTTGGTAATATTTGGGCCAAAAAGTTGTTCCATGTCGCCAAATT